TGGCGCTTCATCTATGGCTCCCACTTCTCCTCTGTTCTTACCAGGAAGGAAGATAAGAGTATAAACTGTTTAGTAGAACGGATGGGACACACTTCATTCCCCAAAGAGAAGGAGGGCAGGGAGAAGGAATCCATGAACAATGGGAGCTTAGTGACATCTATCATGTATAACTGGGGCAAAAAATGTTCTTTTCTAAAACAAAAAATTCTCAACAATGTTTAAATGACATTAAAAACTTGAACGTACCATCAAATCTGGATTCACTATGTTCCTGTGAAAATGCTCATGTGTACATGTAGGGTGGGTAGATGCTGCATCTATTTTGCATATTGATTCCGTTATTGAATCATCTTTTTGTGGTTTACCAGTTAACTTGGGTTTGTCCTGTGGGACACTTATTATCTTGTTGAGAGCTTGACTGACATGGCAATGAGACAGTCATTTGTCTTGTATAAGACAAATTGGAGGGGTTGTCATATGTCTTGAGTTGTGGGAACCAGCCCTGTCAGTCTGGCAAAGTCAATGATTTTACATCATTATTACTGCAAAACATGCCTCATTTTTATTAACGTGGAATCCAATGATATTGTTCTTTAGTGGAAAAAACTGTTTTCTATATCCCAAAAGACTATTTGCAGTTTAGGCGAAAACTCAATCTGAGCTGAATCAAATCAAAGACAAGGTCTTCTATTTTCAAGAGCTTTTGTAGCCCCTTAGAAATATATTCCATTTTATGAGCCACGATGGCGCAGTGATTAGAATGCAATACTGCAGGTTATTTCTGCTTTGCCAGCTGCCTGCAATTTGGCAGTTCAAATCTTACCAGGCTCAAGGTTGACTCAGCCTTCCATCCTTCTGATATGGGTAAAATGAGGACAGATTGTTGGGGGCAATATGCTGATTCTGTAAACCGCTTAGAGAGGCCTATAAAGCACTGTGAAGCGGTACATAAGTCTAAGTGCTATTGCTATTTTACACATTTGGTGTTTTTAATAGTTAACACATTCCCAATAAATGGTGCAATTGCACACAGTACTTGGAAGTTTCCATTAGCTTTTATGAGTATATTAGTTTACATAGAAGGAAGAGAATTAATAGTTTTTTTCATCCAAGGATTTGTTCTTTTGTTTGATTCTTGGCATATCTTGCCATCTTAGTTTCCTTCTGCTTTGTATTTTTTTTTAGTATTTATTTGATTTGTCAATCGCTTACAAGATACAGGTATAAGAATAAATATAGTTTTGAATACATGAGATAGATACTTATAAGAAAAATAAAATAACAATAGGACAGGGACGGTAGGCACGATTGGTGCGCTTAGTTTCCTTTTGCTTTATGTTCAGGGAAAGAAAAAGAAGGGAAAGCAGCTTTCCTCTGCCTCACTAAGGTATCTCCAGAGAGTAAAATTTGTGAGTATGAAATAGAATTTTCTTTAATTTCCTGGTCTTGTATTTTTGTCAAAGAATTCAGAAGCAATATAATGGAACAAATAAATCTAAACACTGGAAATTAATTTTACCATTTGATGGAAGCTCTCCTAATCTTTCATCCAAAACTATATTTAGACTAGTTTTGTTGGCCCTTAAGGCACATAGAGTATGCTTACTCTTGGCCGCTCTGGGAATGACAAAAAATCTCAACATCCTAGTTTTTCCATTGTCTTGGTCATTATTTATACACCGCGTGAAGTGCAGCTGTCTTTGTTTCTATTTCAAACATTAGAGATTTCCTTTTTGGAATCAAAGACTTCTAAACATATGGGAGATACAAAAGGTCAGTATTTCCTCAGTAATAAAAATATACCGGACTTGGACATCTTTCTAGCAAAGATACTTGCTGAGTTGCAGAAATTCCATAGGAAACACACTACTGTGTCTTGTACTCTGCTCATTTTAGCAGGATGGAAGTGAGGGTGGAACAGTATATTTGAACTTTTTCCTCCATCTGTGACAGTTCTCTATCACAAGCTCAAGTACATTAGTTTCAACAAGAGGACAACATGTACATGCACGCTTCTCCCAAGGTTTCCACAGCAGCTGGGAGGTAGTAATTAGGTCGGATTGGTCCTTGGAGAGGAACACACAACATATCCTGTGCTGCTTGGGATGCCTCATCAGCAACCACAGGACTGCAATACAAAATGTTTGCAATGAATATGGCAGGAAGAAAGTAAGCAGGGGTGGCGGGGTGGGGGGAATTGTGGGGGAGATGGACAAAAGCAGACAATTTAAAGAAATAGCAGTCTGGGAACGGACTGTTCACAATAAAACACTGGCTAACTAGAGCTAAAATTGGTAGGACAACCTCTTTATTGTCTTCAAATTTCTTTAAAAAAAACTTGAAAGGTGGAGATGGTACTTTCATGTCCTGCTCTTCAGTAGGAGTTTATGATAGACCAGTAATTACATGTTACACTAACCTGTTTAAATTCCTATTTGCTTTTCTTTTAGAGCCTACCTATGACTAATAGAAAAAGGGCAAATAAACACAAACTAAACACAAAAAGCAAAACAAGCAAGATAATGATAGCAAATAATATGATAGCAAATGTATTTTTATATTTACATGGGTTTGTTTACCCAACAGTGCCTTGGAGATTAACTTCATGCCCATAAAGAGCAACATCCCTGTTATTCATGGATGGGCTAAAATACAAGACAGGATTCAATTTATGAAAAGAGATGAGATTTTTTTTACCCATTTGTCTCTTCCCTTCTTCCCTTTCTTAGAGAATGATTTTCCAGAATGGAATAGGAGCAAAGCCAGAGTTCTAATGGGTGAGCAATTGTGAAAGCCACATTCAGAATAATGCCGCTTCCAAGAAATATAGAATATAGCCTATCCTTGTTGAATGTTCCTGCTGTTGAAACTGATGTCCCAACTTTTACTCAGATTTCAGCAGGAACTAGAATGATAGCCATAAATTGGATATAATAGAATGAACTCATCATTTCCCACAATTATGGGAAAGGTTGGGCAGGAAAATTTTATACAATATTTTTCTGAAGAACTGAAAAACGTCTTGGTTAGCTTGCCTAGTCTATCCTAACCTAAATATCGTATTTATCTCAGAAGATTCTATTGAGCTGAGGAGCTAAATCACTCAGTTTTGCTCCTCGTTTTCCCCATTGTACTTATCCCATTTTACACTGGGCTTAGTTATTAATATATAATAATACTCAAAGAAAGATATATAAAATATGGAGAAGCATATATTTCAAAAATGATGTTGCATATAAGAGGTTCAATAATTTTGTACTGAAATAAGAATTAAAGGAATTTATTATCATTGAAAGTTGTATTCTTCTACTATATAAATATCTTAAAATCAGTCTGGATAGTTGCCATCTTGTTTTAAAAGTAGTTTGTTGTTGCTTTATTCCTTGGATTGAGAGGTAGGGATCAATCCAACCTCATCTAGCTGGCTTTGGGCATAAAGGAAGACTAAAACTCACAGAATGTTTGTTTGTTTACAAATAATTCAAAATGGCAAACATACCTACTATTCCTTGTTTCTCCTATTTCTCCCACAACAACCACCCTGGGTTGTGGGTTGGGCTAAGAGGGAGTGAATAGCCCAAGGTCACCCAGCTGGCTTTATACCTAAGGTAGTACTAGAATTCACAATCTCCTGGTTTCTAGGCTACTACCTTCATCACACCAAACTGAGTCCCCTTATTTCTTACTCCTGCTAAATGAGCTTCATGCATGTAAGTTTTGCTAAGTGCATTTTTTTCACGCATCCAGATCAAATTTCCTTGCAGAATATGACAACTCTTTTAATTCTACAATCATAACTAAATGATCACCTATTTATAATAAGCTGACTTGACAGGAAAAATATTCAATACTCTTTCCTGTGGCTGATTGTTCTGTTGTCTCCCAAGTGAAATGCTTCGTGTCTATATATTCAATTTATATTCTATTTATACAGTTCATCACAAGGCTCTGTTCAAATTATTCTTGTTGATGAGCATTATCAAGGCAAAACAGCTTGTTGTATTGAGAGAAAATGAGTCTCTTTTTTGTCCCCATCATAAGGTTGATTTGACAACTTGCCACCTACCCAACACCCACGCCTGCTAAAAGCTTTTCCTGCTAGACAAGCTGAATATCCAAGCAGTGATGCTAATAAGTTATGGACTTTTACCCTTTACAAGAAAGAGGCAGTTTCAATGGCTGTGACTCATTCCCTTCAGGAAATGTGTCTTTCAAGAGAAAGGTTATTGGACATAACTAAGACATCAGGCAGGATCTTCCTTACAATCGAGTTCTGTGTACTCCTTGGAATTTTTTAAAGCTTGCATTCCATACAAAGTTTTGGGGTTTATATAGTTTATTGTCAGAGCAATTGAGAAGTAGGCCTCTATCTTTTGTCATATATGCTTTGTAAATAATAAATAGTAAAGTAATGGACAATACCTTTTTAGATACTCTCTGGGCCCCTGGTATATACAAATGACAGCTATTTTCTTTTCATACCTAATGTAATGTTCTTTCTTTTATTTTATTTTTTCAAACAAAATTTGATAGTAATAGGAACTGTCTGGGTAACTTCAAATATTGAAATAGTAAGCAGGATTATATTTTAATGCCAAAGATGGAAACTCCTTTGTTTTTAACCTTACCTTTTTAAAACATTTCTTCTGTATTTACATTATCTTTGAATTTCATACCGCAAATAAATTGCCATAATTAATTTACACTTTTATTTTAGATAAAATATGCTTTGGAATTAGGTCTGCCGCTAAAAGGGTATTTTGTGAAAAGTACATTCAAAACCATACGCATAAGTGGATGAAATTGCAGACTAATTGCAAATTAAGACAGAACAGGCTCATGAATGATAACCAGTGGAATTCAATCGGGGCTGAAAATACTATTACCCATTCATTTTGAAAATGCATACCACAATTAGGAGTTGCCTTAAATATGCCCTGTTAAACCGGGACATTTTATTTCTCTGTACTGTAGCTTTGTGGGAATAAAAGAGCACTTACCAATAATCTCTGCATATTCCTCATTGTCAGAAGCTCCAGTCCCATCGCAAAGGACAAATTGGAAGAGAAGATACAAGGTGGCAGTTACAAACATATTGATCCTCCTTCCGCTCATCTTTTCTAAACAAGCAAAAGAAAATAAATTTTAGTACAGAAGACAAGGAAAAAGAGAGCTTTGAAACATCCTTCCTTCTACTGCCAGGAAAAAAATGGTCTTATAGGGGTTCTAGTTCAATTCACATCATCATCCATCAGGCAAAGAGAAAAAAGGATCTGGATACAAAGGCTTATTATGATGCCTGCATTAAATGCAGAGGCCTGAGCACAAGAGTTGTAGAGCTTAACTCAAAAATATTGTTCCTCCTGAAGGGAAGTTGAAAAGCTTGCCCCTGGTTAATCTGAATAATACTGAGTCTACAGAAATGTGTTTTGAAGTTTAATCAAATGAGGTAAATCCTAACAAATTAAATGGGTTGAATTAGCAACAGTTTCTCTATTTTTTTCTTATATTTGGCCTGATTGTTGCCAATTCATGGTGAATTATGCATTCTGGGTGCTCTCTATTAATCCTGGAGTTGGCAAAGCATTGGCATGAAATTTCCTCGCCCCACTGCTAATTCCTATTTCACCTATGGTACCTCTGTTTTAAGTTCCTGCAATGCCTTTCATCCAAAGTAATGTATAACGTAGTCTATTGTTTAATACATTTACATCTCTCTTAAACAAAGGGGGACTTATTTAATATCAATTAAGGAGCTCAGTTTAAGGAAAAAGTAAGATTAAATAAAAAAGACCAAATTAATGACAACAGATTCAACAACCAGACATATTATTGTCTTTATGATTATTAATTAGTTTTATGCTTATTGTAAGCCACAAAGGTGCTTAAGGTGTGTGGCCATATATATCTTAATTGGCAATGAAGACAGAATGGACAGCTTCTGCTTTTTAGGGTCAACTAAAAAGTATAAATGAATCAGCAGTTATGAAATATAGCCCAGACTAGCACTTCATAGAGTAGGCTTGGAGGAAAAAAAAATCATGGATGCCTCCATCCTTTCAAAGATCAGAATTGTGCAGGCAATGTGAGATTCTGTCAAAAAGAAAGAAGAACTTTGAGGAAGCACATCAGAAAAAATACTGAGACTTTTAGACTTGGTGTTGGAGAAGACTCCATTGAATACCATAGACAAACAAATGAATCAACAAACAAGTAAATTCAGAATTCTAACTTGAGGCACAAAAGATCCCTATTTTGGACATGTTCTGATAAAACATAGCTCTTTGGATAAATCCATGACACTAGAAAAGGTGGAAGGAAAGGTAAGCAGAGGACAACCAGCAGCAAGAAGCTCACCAGAAGCCGGAAACAGGTCCATTTCTGGACTTCCAGAAGGCCCGTTTTCCCCGTCCCAGAGACTCCATGAGGACCCTGCACTTACCTCCATCAAAAATGGTAAGCATGGAAACTCCCGGGAGAGGTGGGGCAGGGCTACTCAGTCGGTTCAAATACCGGTTCGGCAAACCAGATGTAACTTTAACATCCTGTTTGCCCAAACCAGTCCGAACCGGTAGAATCCCACCCCTGGTGCGGATCCTGCTTTAGAGGTCTGTGAAAGTCTCTGACTTAAAATATGTTTTGTCTAGGAATCTGACATACTTTCACATGGTTTTAGTATTTCAGAAACCATATTCTATCTGTTCCACAAAAGTACGTGAAGACAAGTCTCTGCTCCTTTTCTCTCCTCCCACCCATCAACAGGACAAAACAAAAATGCTTATCTTTAACCAGGTTTCCTAGTGTTCCTCATGAAACCTTTATCCGTAACCTTGGTCATACTTCAAGAGACAAGAAATAATTATGCTTAAATAATGGAGAGACTATCTGTCTGTCTCCTATATGCTTAAAAAAACAATCTCTTTAATAATGAAAAAGTTTAGAGTCAACATAAAACGTTTCTGAGATACTGATATGCTCTATGAATACATTTTCTAATAGAAAGAATTAAGTTCAATTTGGAAGGAGCGAAACAGAACATTTTTTTTTTTCAAGGAATCCAATAATATTGGTTATTAGATTAAGATTGAGAGTATCTCTTTTATTTGGATATTTTTGCAAATTTGCTAGAAGCATACTAAGATTTTTATCTCTTTGGAACTTTAATACTAGTATGTTATTATGTTCAATTATGTATTACCCATAACACATATTATACATTTATTAATCACATTTATATAACCACCCATCTCACTAAAAGCAACTTTATATGTTCAATAACACTTAATTTTTCCCAGCTTTGACCAAATTATCATGTTGAATGGATTTTCTCCATAATTTGCAAAACACTGCATTGTTTGATGGCAGAACATGGAGATTTTGAAAGATTATTTGAAATGCACTATCTACAAATCTGTAGCCTGTTAATGTATAGATGAAATTGTTTTTAACAAAGCCTAGAAGTGAAATTACATGAAAAGGTACTTTTTTTCCTCCTTTCTTCTTGAAAGTATCCCTTCAAAATCTGTTCCATGTCATTGAGAACACGGGCACAGCTCCAGAAGAGAAAGTAAATCACCATCAATGGCAGAATTGCCCCAGTGAAATTATAATATTGATTTTTATGAAAATATTGCTATTTTTTTCTTTTTTCTTCAAAAGTTTTATTATCTTAAATCTGCTCATTGGTTCCTGAAAATCTAATCTAGTCACAAAATTAATATTGAATATTAAATATCTAGACCACACAAGCCAGACTGAACTAGTGTAATGTAAAATCCTTTCCCATTTCAGAGAAACCTGTTATGTGGATTTAAGTGAGTCAGGGCAAATTTCCCCCAAAAATGTTCTCTAACAAATATTCCTAAGCACTTAATTTGGAAATAGTTCAAGCCAATTATTAATGTTATATCTTATTATTCAATAGTTTGATATTAAATCACAGCTTCAATCTGTATTGCAAGAAATTCCCTGGGAGATTCAGGATTAGGAAAGAAGGATTGTAGAGATCAACATCAGCCTGTCTTGTCGAAGCCAGTAGTATATAATGATATGACATTAGTAAGCAGCAAATAATGTGAAGTGCTTACGCAATATTAATGCAGTAGTAGGTTCAACCTGAAAATAGGTTTCATGTAAAGCTTCTTTCTTAAGTAAAGGAAAAAAAATCACTCTTCATGTAAAAGCTGAGTAATAAATCAAACGTTTTAAATGCAATATTATCGGAAATGGAGCAAAAGGATTTTTTTCTTTTTTGGGGGGGAGGAGGATGGAAATTCCTGAAAATTATATTTATAATTTCCTGTTTCAGTATACAGAGTACCTATGTTTTTTTAAAAATCTTTCATTTGTTTCCCAATCTGATACTTGATCTATATATTGCACCATCTGAGAGATGCAGAAGCAGGGACTGAAACTTCCAAAGATTAATTATACTTTGTGGTTCTCTTCTTCTTCATTTTATGTAACCCATTGTTAAAAGTTAAACTTGGGCTAACACTCCTTCACTGAGTAATTTTAAAACATGTTTTTTTTCAAATTTGTGCTTGATAAAAAGAAAAACAGAAGCCAGTTTTCCTCTATTAGTTTTCTGTCTTCACATGAACTATACAACCTGGTAATGCTGAAAAACTGACAAAGGGAAAACACACAAGACTTGTGCATTCAGATCTCCAACTAAATTAAGGTTAACGTGCTCTGCAGATATTATAATTTTTCAAAACCCAGAAAGAATATGAGAAATAATATCCTTTCCTGCCCGCCTTAGACAACCATGATCTGGATGACTGAAAATCTCCACAGACGGTTGTTGGCTGTTTTAGATCAGAAATCTTATTCACAGATGATTAATGCAATTCACAATCCACCCAGTTTCAGCATAAAGACTTGGTATAAAATAAGGAGTGGGAAAAATGCATTGAGAGGTGGGAGATTTAGGAACATGACTTTGCTCACATCAAAACCAAGCTGTACCCAAAGTAGCTTTTTGGTTCTTTGCTTTTACAAACCGTCACCAATTTCAGTTGATCTCTTCCTGCCTATATTTTCAAAGGAAAGAATCAAGATAAAGAATACCAAGTCAAACTATATTCTGAACTGTATGTCTTGATCCAATTTTAAAACAAATTGGGAAAATAGTTATCCACATGCTTGCTGTCTTTAGATATATTTAATAAGCGGGCCACAGTTTTAGACCTTAATCCTGAACACCTTCTGCATTTGTGCAGTGATCTTCCATGTCATTTATGGTAGAATTTCAGCATATTTGTATCCATGTTCTTTTTAGAAAATAAAATTGCTAGGGATCAATGCAGTCTTAGCTTGAATTACACAACAGAGAGCCACACTGAAGCTATTCAGATAAAGCAACACAAGTTTGCCATTTTTAAAAAACTGAAAACACAGATAAATAGACCACCCAAATGTTAATATAGTTCTGGCTTATCAGATTATACATGCCTGGCTCCCCTTTACATCAGTCTTTTGGAAGGTGTCTTAAATTCTGAAGGAGTTGATACAGGTAGTCCTTGACTTGTAACAGCTCACTTAGTGACCATTCAAAGTTACAATAGCATTCAAAAAGTGACTTATGACCATTGTTCACTCTTATAATTGTTGCAGCATCCCCACAGTCACATGATCAAAATTCAGATGCTTGCCAACTGACTCATATTTATGACAATTGCTTTGTCCCAGGGTCATATGATCACCTTTTGTGACCTGACAAGCAAAGCCAATGGGAAAGCCAGATTCACTTAACAACCATGTCACAAACAACTGTAGTGATTCACTTAACAACTATGGCAAGAAAGGTCATATAATGGGGCAAAATTTACTTAACAACTCTCACTTAGCAACAGAAATGTTAGGTTCAATTGCGGTTGTAAATCAAGGACTACATGTATGTGTATTTGTTTGTAGGCATTTGGAAACATCAAGGCAACACTTTTCACCCAACTCCTTTCAAATGCACGAGGTATGGACAATCTTCTTATTGCAGTCTGGGTTGAAACCCCCCAAAATGTGAAATAGATGAGTGATTAATAGATACATTTACAGATACATTCAACTGTTAGGAATGCATGAAACAGTCTATCTTAGCAATAAATACTCCTTTGTTATTTAGCTTTCTCAAACCTGTAACAATCTTTTCTTTAGCTTTGCCCAGATCCTTAAAATATTTTTGTTTATTTGTTTGACTAAGTACATCCTTAGTTATTTTAGTTATGCGTGTTCCTAATGGATAGAATAAAAAACAGAAACAAAGAAAAGTTCCTAGGTTGATTTTGAGCTTCAAAAGCCTTATGTTTTTCTGTTCAATTTCCTGGGCTGTCACTTTGAATGAGTCACTTTTGTGGCTGTGGAACAACAGGAAGGATGGAATGAAAAACCGAAAAGAGATAAAAGTCTGAAGTTATTAAGAATACAATTTAAATGAAAGATTTTTAAAGGTCTGGAAAGATAACTGTCAAAGAAGAAAAGATGTCATAACTTTAGTGGTAATCCTTTTTTATTAGAGAAAACGTTTCTGTGGTTTAGCAAAAGTCCCCTGTCTTTTAATACACTTGTGTTCATTAGTCACAAGAGATAAGACCATATATATATAACCAAACTGAATGCAAACTTGGAATATAAATTGGGATTGTTCCCCACTATTCCCATGTGCATTTGACACAATCTCTGACTAGCATTTAAACACAATCTATGTGTGTTTGTGTGTGAAACTTTTGCTCATGCCCTGATGTATATATCTTGTCCATATGCAAGCAAAATGTCTAATGAACTCAATGGAAGTTCAATGGCAGAACTGAATGCCTTGCCTGCAGAAGACTTAGGCTTTAATTTTCATCTCCAGCGTAAGAATGGAAAAACTCTTGCATAAAATGTTAGAAATTTGCTGGCAACCAAAAAGAGTTAAAATTGAACTAGATATACTTAACTCACTATACCCCAAACCTATGTTTAGGAAGGCAGGACCACAGAAGCACAAGTTATCAAGAATTCACTTCACACACCACCAGCCATGTCTATTAAAAAAAAAAGTATCCTTCAATTCAGTGGTGGGATTCAAAAATTTTTACTACTAGTTCTGTGGGTGTGGCTTGGTGGGGCTGGCAGGGGAAGGATACTGTAAAATCTCCAGTCAGAGGTGGTATTTGCAAGTTCTTTGAACTACTCAAAATTTCTGCTACCAGTTCTCCAGAACTGGTCAGAACCTGCTGAATATCACCTCTGCTTCAATTCACTGGTATTACTGGCTTTCAAGTAAAGAGATCTGGTTGATCTCTTTGAGAGGATCATACAGATTCAGAATTTTAAAAACAAACTGTTCCGATTGAGCTCAATGAGGAAGAACCTAAACCTGAAGCTTGTTTCCATTTTAACCAGGACTGTCTCAGTCAAATACGACAAGTAATAATGTATTGATATTACAGAATCTCTCAGGACAACGGTCTATCATTAGGGCTTTCTATATCTATATTATATCTATATCAATAGCTATATCCATATCTACGTCAATGGTATATTTATATTGGTAGGTCTATCGTTAAACCAAAAACTATAGTTCATATAAATTTCTACGATACTCAATGTCTCCATAGTTGAGTACCATAGTTGAGCACCATATCATGACACAGGATAATGTATAATGGCACATGAAAAAGTAACTAATTAGTAATATGAAGCAATCTTTATTTTGTGAAACAATAGGGCTTATCAGTGGTGACCCAATCACACAGATAACTTACCACTACATTTTCCAGTAGGAATTAGTCTGCAGAAAATAAAATAATCAGAAAACAGTCTTTGATTTAAAATGTGAGTTGGCTAGTAATGCATCTTGCATTAATGCCAGTTAAATATTAGACTGACTTTAAAAACAGCAGCATTCTTTAGGGAGTTTTTATTTCATGAAGGACAAATATTTGAATTCTGGAAAGCAGTATTTGTGCAAGTGTTTCATTTCTCTAGAGAGATAAAGTTTTAAATAAATATGACCTTTCTAAAGAAGTTAGGAAAATTGTGTGCAGATGTTGATAGTTAGAGAGGTTTTGACAGGATACCATAGATAATTATAAAATAGAGCTCTGCTGGCAGTTTTAAATCAAACTCTAGAATGAGGTAGAGAAAACCAAGAGTGGGAATTAGCTTTAGATTTGAATGGATCATATTATAATTCTATATACTTTCTATTTTGTGCAGAAATGTCACAGGAAATTGCATAGCTCATGTTGCCCATGTGTGTGACATCTTTAGAGCTTCAAAGAGCATTTCTTAGCCCTTCCTTTAAAAAAAATAAATTACTGAGAATAACTCTTTGAACCAAAGGAAATCCTTTTTTAAAAATTAAATAAAGGAAATTTGTTACCCAAGGGATATTTATTGCATGCTATGTTCAAGGTTGTTTGCAAAAGCAACTTTCATAAGACATACATATTAAAATTTAGGAGTAACTTAATAGGCATGTATGTGTATGACATCATTATGCAAATGACATGATTTACATACTTTCATCAGCTTTTTTCTTCCCTAGGCACACCCACAAGATCTCCTATTTTTATTTCTTCTAGTTATTTACATTTGTTTGTTTTTATCTTGCCTTTACCATTTTTTATAAATAACTCAAGGTGGGGAACATACATAGTACTCCATTTTGACCACAACAATCCTGTCAGATGATAAAAAGAGAAGGACTGGCCCAAAGTCACCTAGCTGGCTTTCATGCCTAAAGTGTAACTAGTACTCAAGAGTATTCTCAGAGTGTTTCTGGACCTTCACCACAATGCCAAACTGACTTTTAATTCTTCCCAGAGACAATAATAGGAGGGATGAGGAAGATAATGAGGAGGAGGATGCGAGGAAGAAAAGCAACTCTGTATTTCTAATAAGTAAATTCTAGGCTATTAATCTGAAGGGATTCAAAATCAATGGGGGATTAAATGAGATAGTGACCTTTTGGCTGTGGCAAGACATGTTTACTTTTATTTATTAATTACTTTCTCTTCTGGGTCTGAAGCACTCAAGGCATCTAGCCCAATTTAAGACAAAAGCAATATATAAAAACAGTTAGGATTATAGATTAAAATTAACATGAATAGCAATTATAATAGTAAGTAATAAAATGATCTAACAATTCTAAGCTTGGCAAAGAGATATACCTGTATAGGACTCCAAATACTAAGAAGGGCAAACCCAGCTTCCAAGGGAGTGGGGTCTTCTGTAGCTAAGAGCAATAGGACAAGATCTTTTCTTGCATGCTAAAAGAACAGGCCTCTGACCATCAGAAGCAACAGAGCTTCTTCTGCCAATCATATCAACTAGACAGGTGCAAAATGGGAGACGTGACTTCACAGAAACCTAAGCTTCTTTGAGTTTTATAAGTCAAGACCACCTTCTTAATATGTGCCTGATAAATCAGTACCCATCTTTCAGTATAGACATCCTCTCTTCCCTTTTCCTTGCACTTGTTAACAACTAAAATACTGTAATTTCCACCAAGTGTAACTTCTCTCAAACTGTCAAGTACATTTCATTGAACTCTTTATGATATAGTTATACCTAAGAATTGCAACATAAAACCTACTCTTTTCCCTCCAGTTTGAGATTTTTTTAAATTTATCATCAGCTTTCTTTTATACAAATGGCATAGACAAAAGCTATCACCAACTGTACTAAAACTTGTTTCATAAAAATATTGGCTGATTAACTATTGCATTCTTCCTTGGTTCCCATTCATACATATATGTACTTGAATAAATCCCTTCCCTTTGTAGATTGCTTTGAAAAGCTTCTTCAGTAGGTAAGATCTTCATAATATCATCTCCTTAACTTGGGATGGAATTCTGCATTAAAATAAACAAGAGGGAATCCCAAGGAAATCTCTTGTAAATGATGTTGCAGACAATTGAGGATGTGCAGAGCCAACAAAATAAATACTCTAAATCTGAACTAGGAAAACATTTATTCTCCCCACTCCCCATGTGTCTATAGAAATATATGCCTATTAACATTGCCAACTGTTTGTGTTTAGTTGCTTTAAAAGTTTGTGTCCGTGAAGGCACTACTCACTGTCCATGCTCAAGTATCCTTCCAGCTAAATTACATTGCCGTTTTAATGTTGCGCTCAGTACACAAAAGCAGAGTTCGACAACATCAATAAATCTGACATCTGACACTCATCTGGCAATAATGCATATCCAGCCAGAGAAATAACATGAAAAGAACATCGCTATTGTCTTACCACCAAATTGCTTGCAGGGCTGAAAAAGGTCCGCAAAGTTATCGCAATATTCCAGGAAGACTTCGATGTTTCTTTCTTCCAGAAGGCAGGGCCTGGGGTGGGGTAGAGGGGACGGGGATAGAAAAGACAACGGGAGAAACAAAATCTGATCTTATTGCCAGACTTTTCAATAGACACGCTGGCGGGGGGTGGGGGAGGAGGATCTGAACAGACTGCTCTGAAGTTGCTCCTTTATGCTGTGCAGAAAACCTTGAGATTCCAAGGTATTCTCCTGGCAAGGATCAAAAGCAGAGCTTCCGGTTCAAAGCATGCTGATGATCTTCCTTTGAAATTATCTTGCACTTCTCTTCCAGGAAAACACTTTCTCTGTGATAGGCTTTTCAGTACGTGGGAGGTAGGATGAGCCTCCCTTCTGACTAATTTTAGGCTGTCTTTTCGGATTAGCCGCCTCCCTTTTTCCCCCAAACAAGGAGTGTAAATTGATCTTGAGAGTCTCTTCCAGCAATGGGTTTTGTGCAGGCCCCGGATCTGGGCTACTGCTATAGAATCCCTACAAGATTCTGTAGTTTTCAGCCCTCCCCATTTATCAGAAGAGTTTTTTTGGGGGGGATAAACAGACTTTTCGCCTGGTTCCCCCCCCCCCCGAAGATTCAGGATATTTTTTTAATGGTTAACATCCAGACAAAGTATACTTGGCCCTGGAAATCCGGTTTTGCTGTCTGCTCCTACCTCTCAAGGATGGGCTGGAATCTTAATGCTACTGCTCATGAAGGTAGAAACAACTAGGCCAAAATATTAGGCAAAATATAACAGGCTTTCCTAAAAGAAATGAAGAAAAAACCATCTGCAACTATGAGAGAAATCCAGGATGGGGATTATAATAACAGGTATGGGGGGGGCAGGGGGGAGGTTCAGCCTTTTCTTCTCTTCATATTCTTATTGCAAATAAATCTCCTGTTCCCCCCCCCCCCTCCCTCAACTGTACTCTGAAAAGTGGCAATTTTTCATGAAGCTGTGCCATGAAGAAACAAGATAATACTACTCCCAGAATATTGCAGACCTCAGTTAGAGCACGTTACTAGCAACTACTGGATAAAAAGGAAGTTGTTGGCTAATATGATCCTGGATTAAGCAGACAGTCTGGCTTTCATCCAGACACAAAGACCTAGGAGTATCATTTCTTTTCCCTTCCTCCCACTCATAGTTCTGCTTAGCTAAGGCTGTTAAGTCCAGTTGTTCCATTTTGAGATAAAACACTCTCAAACGCTGAAGACAGTAACAGCAGGAACATATTTTTGAAACCACAAGCTGTTGCAAAGTCATTGAATATAAATATGCAGACAGAATACTGCTCAGTAGGTTGCAGTTCTGTCATATGCAAAAAGATGAGTATCGTATAAGAGTTTATTTTCAACATTCTTCTTGTTTTCTGGCATCTATATGGGCATTTTTAAACAATCATGAAAGTCAACTGGTGGGAAGCATTAGAAGCAAGGAACTAATATGATGATTTGGAAAAGAACACTACAATTCAGGGACCTGGGAAACTCCTAAGTTACAATCCCCCCAAAACAGCAGCTTGTAATGATAGTTGCCCCTGAATATGATCATCTTTGGCTCTGATACCAATATGTGACTTTCTGTCAATGACATAAAGCCTGTGTCAAACATAGGCTTACCAGTCTGAGTCATTTTAGTGCCTGGCCCCTCATTTAACCATAATATTATTGACATTCTTTAATTGCTTTATATGTCATTTCCTGTGTCATAAACACATCAATCAAAGCAGTAGATGAAACATGGTGGTCACATCAGCTCCAGTAAGTCTGACCCATATTTCTTGATCAAATAAAGGAACTGAAACACATTTACCTTTAGCTTTTTGTACTACCTGAAATTTATATTACTTATTGATTTCAAGTATAAAGTCTGTTTATCAGTTTTCTGGGCTGTCCAACTCCAAAATGATTTTAATTGTTCTTGTGAGATTAAAATAAATAAAATTACATCAAAAGGAATAACCATGTTATATAAAACATTGTGATTGTGTAAGCTTAGCTACTTAACACATTTCCATATCACTTTTCTCACACAGATCAAATGAAAATTATGTATGCATTTTTATTGTGAACATTTGTAATTCAGTTCATAACTACTGTGAATCATTGTTTATATGCAATTCTATAAATTTGAAAGCCCTGAAAATCTTGAATAAATGGGGAAATTTCAACAAGAGATAATTGAGGACATTGGTAAAAAGGTAAAGGTTTCCTTGTCACTTGTGTACAACTCTAGGGCATGGTGCCTATCTCAATTTCTTAGCCATGGAAGCCAGTGTTGTCTGAAGACCCTTTCCATGTTCATGTGGCCAGCATAGCTATACACCAAAGGCAGACAGAACACTGTTACCTTCCCATTGAAGTGGTACCTATTAATTTACTCACATTTGCATGCTTTTGAACTAGGCTAGGTGGGCAGGAGCTGGGGCAAGTAACATTGTATGAGTCTCGAATCTGTGCTGTCAGCTCTCCAGCTTTCTTTAGCTGCTGAGCCATCACAAGGACATTGAACCTTGAGTAAATGTAGTTTTTCATTAAACTTTAAAAAGCTAGTCAATAAACTAAGTGTTGGTAATCTGTGTCAATACTAAAGTACCATGCTTTGCTCATAACTTAAAACTGAGCATACAGGATGTCAAAATGGTATACTCTATGCTGCATTTATCAACTATAAATAAAATGTCAGTGCAAATCCACAAGAATCAGCAGGAATTAGCGACTTCAGCAAATACTATTGGTCTATATCTCTGAATGTTTTGTTTATTTAAGTTCTGTAGGACATCTCAAGGCTGAGCAGTAAAACTGCACTGCAGACAATGAATGCAAAAGAAACACGAGGAAAATAATTAAGAAAAAAACTCAGGAAGAACTAGTTCACATATGAAACCTTTATCAAATTTCTTTGTGAACTTGGAAAGTTTCTTTGCCAATAGTGTTTAGTCACACACAAAAACAAATACTCATAAATCCAAAACAATGAATAGAAGCTTTGTTTTGACTATGTATTGATCTGGGACAAAGAATGAACAGTAAAAGATAACCCAAAAATAAATTCCTTATGGGGAAGTCCAGGTCAAGAGATGGAGCAAATTTCAAATCTTGTTTTTTCTCAGCATGATAGAAAATCAGTTAGTAAAAAAGCAATGCATTTTTAAAACAGCTACATATAGTATTTTGGTGGGTTCTGTTTTTTAAGACTTCTTGCAGTTTTTACATTTCAGGTCAATTCTATTTGTTCTATATGCAAAAGTAGCACATATATTGTTGATAATAATATTGGACCTTAATATATAGAAAGAATCAATTGGGAAAGAGAGAAAGAAAAAGAGTCAGATGCATGAAATAGCATGGTATGAAATCTTTATGCTTCCCACCTAGTTGCTGAGTGGAATTAATCAGCCTTTGTTTTAGCATAAAGAGAAAGAACTGTTATCTAAACCCATGGTCTCCAATCTTTCCAGCTTGGTGGACCAGCAGAGTGGGGTGGGGGAATAGTTTCACATGTGCACACACTTGCCCACCACCTCTGCGGCCTTGGTTCTGAACGGCCTATGGCCCAGCACAGGGCTACAAATCAAGGGTTGGCGACCCCTGATATAAACCATAAAACTGGGTAATCAACCAAATCATATATGATTGTAGGTACGTGTGGAGAAATCAAGACTGAGAGATCAAGACACGAATTGCTTAATCTTTTAAATGAAATGTAAATAACTGTAACTTTTAAATGAGATGTAAATAATCGTAACCAACCAGATGTTTCTGTTCCATGATTCCTAATGTTTACTGGCCATGTTAACAGAACATCAAAGGACTACAGTTTCCCCATCCCCACCTTAATCTCTCTTCATGCTCTGTTCTGAATAAGGTAAGATTGGCACAAACACTGTGTATGCTGGCCCCAACCTAACATCCTTATGTGTACTGGATCTTCCTACTAAACCTAGGGACCCCAATAAGCATTATCTTTGGTACTAAGAATTCCTCTACAATCCAGATGATCTCATATTTGTTAGAAAATAAAAATGATGGAAGGCCGGGGCCCACTTACCTGGTGGAAGAAAAACAAACCTTGGGGGTTTGAATGGAGTAAGAAACCTCCTACAAGGAGAAAAGACAAAAGGCTTAACTGTTGCAATGTGCTCTTGGTGGAGTGCCCCTTGAAGACCACCCACAAGCCTTAGTTGGTCCAGAATGCAACAGTGTGGACAGTGAAGGGCATAATTCAGTATGATCATATAACACCTCTGATTCCCTAGCTATACTGGTATCTGGTTCGTTTCTGGATGAGATATAAGATGCTGGCCATTAGATATAAAGTCCTACATTTCGTAGGACCCAGCTGTTTGTTGAGGGACCATATGTCACTTATAGTATCTCCCTGGCTAATTCCTGTGATTAAAAACAAACACTGTCTTTTGGCATCTCAGAATTGCACTTTCCCTATAGCCGTGCCTGCCTGCCCTCTGGAATAGGTTTCCTCAAATATCCAGCCCACATCCTGCTTATGTTTGAAAGGTCTTTGAAGACCAAGTTGTTTGCTCAGGCCTTTGACATGAGATAAGTCAGGCCACTCTTTGGATTTTAAGTAGCCCTCAATTTCATTTAGTGACCATTCGAAGCACTGAAAAAGTGAGTTATAACCATTTTTCATACTTACTTACCATTGCAGCCTACCATGGTCACATGACCCAAATTTGGATGCTTGGCAATTGGCTCATACGTATGACGATTGCAGTGTCCTAGGCAGGGGTGGGATTCAAATTTCTTAACAACCGGTTCTGTGGGCATGGCCTAATTTGTGGGTGTGACTTGTTGGTCATGTGACTGGGGTGGGAATATTTAAAATGCAGTGATAACTATCAAGCAGCCAACTCTTGCTCATAAAGTGAAACCCTTTAGCAGAGAGGTGATTTAAGCTCTCCAGAAAGAGCACACCCAGGAGAAGCAATCCTTAGATCCATTTGCACGATTTAAAGATACCAGCTGGTCTCACTCACCTCACAAGATATCCTAAGGAAATCACCGAGATTTAAGGAAAGGTCACATGCCCCCCTAGAAAGGCAGTAAAAAAAATCAGTGCCAAGCTTGCATCCTGCCTCTTAGAAGTATACCCCAAAAGGACAGTGCCAGATAGTATAAAAGCAGTGAAGGAAGACCCCCTCCCCAAATAGAAAAAGAAACCATGAGGCAAGGAAAAATTGAAGCACAATAGAAATAATTAAATCACAACAGTAACTGTTGCTTGTTGAAGCTGAATAGGGAAAATTATCCCATCAATAAACACAGGATTAAACTTCACCAAGC